ACCCCCCCACAAAGTGTTTCAAGATAATGATACCCCCCAAGTGTTCCAAAATAATTAAAAACCCCCCCACAAAAATGTTTTCAAGATAATAACCCCCCCCACAAGTGTTTTTAAGTAAAGATACCCCCCACAAGTGTTCCAAAAAAATGATACCCCCCACAATGTTCCCAAAAATGATACCCCCTTTACAGTGTTCCAAGAAATGAAACCCCCTCAAAGTGTTTCCCAAAATAATTTTTAAAACCCCAAAAGTGTTTTCCCAAAAAAAGAACCCCCCCCCACAAGTGTTCCAAAATAAAATACCCCCCCCCAATTGCTCCAAGTAATTATACGCCCAAAAGTATTCTAAATAAAGATATTCTTCACAGTTTCAAGAAAAATGAACCCTTTACAATGTTCCCAGATAATGAAACCCACTTTCAAGTTTCCAAAAAAATGATACCTTCACGAGTGTTTCAAGATAATGTCCCCCCCACAAATTTTCCAACAAATAACCCCCTAGGTACGAAATAAAGATACCCCCCACTGGTGTTCAACGTCACAGGTGTTTAGAATAACGATTCCTACAGAGTCCTAGGTGATTTTTTAATTATTCCCAGTAAGTTTTTGGGCGGGAAAATTTTCTATTAGGTAATAAAAAATTTTATTGGATATATAAACTTATATTTTAACATCAGCCCATGAGTGAGAGTCCCGAGCTTCGTTTTGACATGAACCCCGAATGTACTTCACCCAACCAATGAACCAAGCATCGCCTGACGAGAAATAATTATTTCAATGTCATCTTTTTAAAAACAGCAATTCCACTGATCTTCCCAAAATGTCCACCCACCTTTAAAAGACAAGTTAATTTCTTTTTGGGGATTAAAAAATTGTTTATTGAAAGGTTAAGACCCCGTTGGTCAGTGATGAAAGACCCTCGTTGGTCTGTTAGTGAACCTGGGGGTCAGTGTGGCCCCCCGTGTGGTCATGTTTATGACCCTTTTGTGGTCATGTTGATGCTCTCTGTGGGCCTGTTGAGACCCCCGTGTGGTCATGTTTATGACCCTCATGGGTAGGTTAAGACCCTCGTGTGGGAGTGTTGTGACCCTCTTGTGGTCAGTGTTTAAAGGCCCTTTTGTGGTCAGTGTTGATGACCCTCGGGGTAGTGTTTAAGACTCCGGTGGCAGTGTTAAGACCCCTTGTGGGCGTTTTAATGGCCCTTGTGTGGTCATGTTTATGACCCCCGTGTGGCAGTGTTAGACCCCGTGGGTCAGTGTTGATGACCCTCTGGGTCAGTGCTAATGGCCCCGTGTGGCAGTGTTGATGAACCTCTGTATCATGCAAGACCCTGTGTGGTCAGTGTTAATGGCCCCCTTTTTGGTCTGTTAATGCCCCGTGTGGGGCGTGTTAATGCCCCCGTGTGGTCATGTTAAGACCCTCGTGTGGCATGTTAAGACCCTTGTGTGGGGCAGGTAATGCCCTTGTGTGGGCATGTTTATGACCCCCGTGTGGCATGTTGATGACCCCGTGTGGTCGTGTTGAGACCCATGTGGGCATGTTAATGCCCCATGTGGGCAGTGTTAATGACCCCCGTGTGGTCAGGGGTTTAAAGGCCCTTGTGTGGTCAGTGTTGGGCCCTCGTTGGTCATGTTTAGACCCTCGTGTGGTAGTGTTAATGACTCTCGTGTGGGGCAGTGTTAAGACCCTCTTTTTTGTCAGTGTCAATGGCCCTTTTGGGGGGCAGTGTTGTACCCTCGTGTGGTCAGTGTTAATTACCCCGTGTGGAGTGTTTAGACCTCGTGTGGTCATGTTAATGACCCTCGGTGGTCAGTGTTAATGGCCCTTGTGTGGTCAGTTTGATGACCCCTGTGGTCGTGTTAATGACCTCGTGTGGTCAGTGTTAATGGCCCTTGTGTGGTCGTGGATGACCCTCGGTGGTCATATTGATGATCCTCGTGTGGTCCCGTGTTAATGACCCTCTGTGGCAGTGTTTTAAAGGCCCTGTGTGGTGTGTTTAAGACCCTCGTGTGTTTAATGTTATTACCCTCGTGTGGCAAGTTAAATTTCCCTGGTGGTCAGTGTTGAGACCCTGTGTGGTCTTTTATGGGCCTCGTGGGTCGGTTTTAATGACCCTCGTGTTCATCTTTTAAAGGCCCTTTGTTCGGTTTAAGACCCCGTGTGTTTAATGTTAAGACCCGTGTGGTCATGTTAATGACCCCCGTGGGTCAGTGTTAATGACCCTCGTGTGGTCATGTTAATGACCCCGTGTTGTCAGTGTTATGAAACCCCTTTGTGGTCATGTTTAAAACCATCTGTGGGTCAGTGTTAATGACCCCGATGGTCAGTGTTAAAGACCCCCGTGTGGCAGTGTTAAAGCCCTTGTGTTTTCAGTGTTTAGACCCTCGGTGTAGTGTTGATGACCCTGTGTGGTATGTTGATGACACTCAGTGGGGCAGTGTTAAGACCCTTGTGTGGCAGTGTTAATGACCCTCGTGTGGGCTTTAATACCCTTGTGTGGCATGTTAATGACCCTCGTGTGGCGGTTAAAACCATCGTTGGCAGTGTTAAAGACCCTTGGTGGCGGTTTAAAGACCCCCGTGTGGGCCCTGTTAATGCCCTTGTGTGGTTGTTTAATGACCACCGTGTGGCCAGTGTTTTTAAGGCCCTCGTGTGGCCGGTTTTTGACCCCGTGGGTCAGTGTGATGACCCTCGTTGGGCAGTGTTTAAAGACCCTCGGTGGCCCGTTTAATGACCCTGTGTGGCCAGTGTTAATGACCCCGTGTGGTCATGTTAAACCCTCTGTGGTCAGTGTTAATGACCCTCGTGGGCCAGTGTTAAGACCCTCGTGTGGCCATGTTTAAAGACCCTCGTGTGGTCAGTGTTTAAGACCCTCGTGTGGTCAGTGTTAATTTTCCCCTGTGGTCAGTGTTAATGACCCCGTGTGGCCAGTGTTAATGACCCCTTGTGGTCAGTGTTGATGACCCTGTGGGCCCGTGTTAATGACCCCCGTACCCGTGTTAATGACCCCCGTGTGGCCAGTGTTAATGACCCTCGTGTTTCAGTGTTAATGACCCTCTGTGGTTTAGTGTTAATGACCCCCGGTGGCCAGTTTAATGAACCCCCGTGTGGCAGTGTTAAGACCCCGTGTGGTCAGTGTTAAAGCCCTCGTGTGGTCAGTGTTAATGACCCCCGTGTGGGCCCGTTTAAAGACCCCTCGTGTGGCCATGTTAATGACCCTTGTGTGGTCAGTGTTAAAGACCCCTGTGGGCAGTGTTTTAAAGACCCTCGTGTGGTCATGTTAAGACCCCGTGTGGCCGTGTTTAAAGACCCTCGTGTGGTCAGTGTTGATGCCCCTCGTGTGGTTAGGTTTAATAGCCCTATTTGACTAATTCAGGGTGTCTGTGTTGATGACCCTCGTGTGTCAGTGTTAAAGACCCCCGTGTAGCCGTGTTAATGACCCTGTGGCCAGTGTTTTTGACCCTCTGTTGTCAGTTTTAAAGACCCCCTTGGTCAGTGTTAAGACCTTCGTTTTTTTGGCCCTGAATGACCCTCGTGTGGGCAGTGTTAATGACCCTCGGTTGGTCAGGTTAATGACCCTCGGGGTCAGTGTTAAAGACCCCGTGTGGCCCTGTTAATGACCCCCCTTGTGGTCAGGTTTATGACCTGTGTGGTCGTTTAAGACCCCCGTGTAGCCAGTGTTTAAAGACCCTCGTGTGGCCGTGTTAATGACCCCCTGTTGCAGTGTTAATGACCCCCGTGTGGTCAGTGTTAATGACCCTCGTGTGGCCAGGTTAATGACCCTGTTGTCAGTGTTAATGACCCTCTGTGGTCAGTGTTAAGACCCTCGTGTGGCCATGTTAAAGCCCTCGTGTGGTCATGTTAATGACCCTCGTGTGGCCAGTATTTAAAGACCCTCGTGGTCAGTGAATGACCCTCGTGTGGGCCCGTGTTAATGACCCCGGTGGTCTGTTGATGACCCTCGTGTGGTCAGTGTTGAGCCCTTCGTGTGGCCAGTGTTTTAAAGACCCTCGTGGGTCATGTTGATGCCCCTCGTGTGGTCAGTGTTTTATGACCCCCGTGTGGTCAGTGTTTTATGCCCCTCTGTGGCCTTTTTAATGCCCCCGTGGTTTGTGTTAATACCCATTTAGCTGACTCAGGATGCCCGTTGTTAGCTTAGTAAGCTGAAACTGAAAAGTAATATCACTGAAATAAGCAAGGATAAAAATATTAAACCCCGTAAATGGCTGAGACGAACAAAAGTCATGAACCGTGCTCCTAGCATGTAAATAAGCTTTTAGTCATTTTCCTGTAAATAATAAGAGGTTTGAACTTTTAAGCTTATAATAGTGGGAAAGGAAAATTTCTTCAGCATATAAATTTTCTTGTATGACTAAAATAAATTTTTATTTTTTAAGTGTGCTGAGCTAAATTTTTCAGATCTTAGCCATAAATAACCCCGAGGTTAGATACATCTCTTACCAGCAAACAAAATAAAAGGGTAAACGCAATCTGTGAGTTAAATGGTGTAGGGCAACACCCCACAGACAGAAAAAAAGCAATGAAAGGAGAACAGGAATTAGCCTGTAAATGAATGTTTGATAATAACCCATATTCTGTAATCGAATTGGTGTAGGATTTTGTTCGGATTTTTAACCCCGGAGGGTTAACCACCCAGGATAACCCATGAAAGTCGGTGCGTCATCGAGGACTGTCTAACTTATTTCCATTGCGGTCCTCAGTATTGTCCCCCAGGATGCGACCCACACCAGTCGACTAACACCCAGGTACCTATTTGCTGCTGGGTGAACAGGACAACAGGTGTAAGGAAACGCGTGGAAATGTTTCCATCCCGACAGGAATCGAACCCGGGCCCTCCGTGTGTTAAGGGAGAGGTTTAGCCACCAGGCCACCGGAAGGATAGCAGCTCTCATCCTATGACTTGTCTAAGACAGAAAAACAGCTTCTAGTCAGTAAACAGGATCAGGCAGGATAACAGTAATTAGCTTGTGAATTCAGCATTGTAAATTAATTCCACTTACGTGAGGTTGATGAAGAGACCACCTGAGATGAGAAGCACCACATCAAAGGGAATGAGGAAGAGCATAATGTACGGGATGCTCTCAAACATGGCAGAAAACATCGAACCTGTTGGATAAAGTTTGTGCAATGTTTGTTAGTGGTTCTGTGCAACATGACCCTAACTGCCTTCTTAGAGACCAGGCCTACTGAAGAGTTAATATTACAGGACTAAGAACTATTGAGAAACAAGGATCACCAGCCTACGACCTCAAAAGATCCCCAGCCTACAACCTCACAAGATCACAAGCCTACAACCTCACAACATCCCCAGCCTACAATCTCACAAGATCCCCAGCCTACAACCACACAAGATCCCCAGCCTACAACCACACAAGATCCTCAGCCTACAACCTCACAACATCCCCAGCCTACAACCTTACAACATCCCTAGCCTACAACCTCACAACACCCCCAGCCTGCAACCACACAAGATTCCAGCCTACAACCTCACAACATACACAGACTACAAACTTCACAAGACCCCAAACCTATAACCTCACAGATCCCCAGCCCACAACCTCACAAGATCCCAGCCTACAACCTCACAAGATCCCCAGTCTACAACCTCACAAGATCAAAAACCTATAACCTCACAAGATCCCCAGCCTACAACCTCACAAGATCCCCAGCCTACAACCTCACAATATCCACAGCCTACAACCTCACAAGGTCCCCAGCCTAAAACCTCACAAGAAAACCAGCCTACAACCTCAAAAGATCCCCGGCCTACAACCTCACAAAATCCCCAGCATACAAGCTCACAAGATCCCCAGCCTATAACCTCACAAGATACCCAGCCTACAGCCTAACAAGATCCCAAGCCTGCACCCTTACAAGATCCCAGGGCTACAACCTCACAAGATCTCCAGCCTATAATCTCACAAGATCCCCAGGTTACAGCCTCACAAGATTCCCAGCCGAAAACCTCACAAGATCCCCAGCCTACAACCTCACAAGATCCCCATGTTACAACCTCACAGGATCCCAAGCCTACAACCTCAAAAGATCCCCAGCCTACAACCTCACAAGATACCCTGGCTACAACCTCACAAGATCCCCAGCCTATAACCTAACAAGGTCCCAAGGTTACAACCTCACAAGATCCCCAGCCGACAACATCATAAGATCCCCAGGTTACAACCTCACAAGCTCCCCAGCCTACAACCTCACAAGATCCCCAGGCTACAACCTCACAAGATCCCCAGCCTAAAACCTCACAAGATCCCCAGGTTACAACCTCACAAGATCTCCAGCCTACAACCTCACAAGATCCCCAGCCTACAACCTCACAAGATCCCCAGGTTACAACCTCACAAGATACCAAGCCTACAACCTCACAAGATCCACAAGCTACAACCTCACAAGATTCCCAGGTTACAACCTTACAAGATCCCCAGCCAACAACCTCACAAGCTTCTCGCCCTACAACCTCACAAGGTCCCTAGACTGCAACCTCACAAGGTCCCCAGTCTACAACCTCACAAGATACCCTGCCTACAGCCTCACAAGATCCCCAGTCTGCAGCCTCACAAGATCCCCATCCTCAATCCTCACAAAATACCTATCCTACAACCTCAGAAGATCCCCAGCCTACAACCTCACAAGATGACCAGCTTTCACACTCACAAGATACCCATCATACAACCTCACAAGATCCACAAGCTACAACCTCACAAGATTCCCAGGTTACAACCTTACAAGATCCCCAGCCAACAACCTCACAAGCTCCTCAGCCTACAACCTCACAAGGTCCCTAGACTGCAACCTCACAAGGTCCCCAGTCTACAACCTCACAAGATACCCTACCTACAGCCTCACAAGATCCCCAGCCTACAACCCCAAAAGATCCCCAGCCTACAACGTCGCAAGATACCTATCCTGCAACCTCACAAGGTACCTAGCCAACAACCTCTCAAGATCCTCAGCCTACAATCTCAAAAAATCTCTAGCCTACAAATTCACAAGATCCCCAGCCTACAACCTCGCAAGATACCTATCCTACAACCTCACAAGATACCTAGCCTACAACCTCACAAGATCCATAGCCTACAACCTCACAACATCTCCAGCCTACTACCTCACAAGATCCCCAGCCTACAACCTCACAAGATCCCCAGTCTGCAGCCTCTCAAGATCCCCATCCTCAATCCTCACAAAATACCTATCCTACAACCTCACAAGATCCCCAGCCAACAACCTCACAACACACCCATCATACAGCCTAACAAGATATCCAGCCTAGAACCTCACAAGATCCCCAGCCAACAACCTCACAAGATCCCCAGCCTACAACCTCACAATATCCACAGCCTACAACCTCAAAAGATTCCAATCCGACAACCTCACAAAATACATAGCCTAAACCTCACAAGATCCCCATCCTACAACCTCACAAGACATCTAGCCTACAGCCTCATAAGATACCCAGCCTATAGCCTCACAAGATCCCCAGCCTACAACCTCAGAAGACATCTAGCCTACAGCATCGTAAGATACCCAGCCTACATCCTCACTAGATCCCAAGACTGCAACTTCACAAGATCCCCAGCCTACAACCTCACAAGTTCCCCAGCCTACAACTTCACGAGATCCCCAGATTACAACCTCACAAGATACCCAGCCTAAACCTCACAAGATCCCCATCCTACAACCTCACAAGACATCTAGCCTACAGCCTCATAAGATACCCAGCCTATAGCCTCACAAGATCCCCAGCCTACAACCTCAGAAGACATCTAGCCTACAGCATCGTAAGATACCCAGCCTACATCCTCACTAGATCCCAAGACTGCAACTTCACAAGATCCCCAGCCTACAACCTCACAAGTTCCCCAGCCTACAACTTCACGAGATCCCCAGATTACAACCTCACAAGATACCCAGCCTAAACCTCACAAGTCCCCAGCCTACAACCTCTCAATATCCCCAACCTACAACCTCACAAGACATCTAGCCTACAGCCTCATAAGATATCCAGCCTACAGCCTCACAAGAACCCCAGCCTACAACTTCACAAGATCCCCAGCTTACAACCTCGCAAGATACGTATCCTACAACCTCAAAAGATACCTAGCCTACAAACTCATAACATCTCCAACCTACTACCTCACAAGATCCCGAGCCTACAACCTCACAAGATACCTAGCCTACAGCATCATGAGATATCCAGCCTATATCCTCACAAGATCCCAAGACTACAACCTCACAAGATCCCCAGCCGACAACCTCAGAAGATCCACAGCCAACAACCTCACAAGATCCCCAGCCTACAATCTCACTAGATCCCCAGCCTACAACCTCACAAGATACTCATCCTAAACCTCACAAGTCCCCAGCCTACAACCTCACAAGCGACCCAGCCAACAACCTAACAAGCTCCCCTGCCTACAACCTCACAAGATACTCAGCCTACAACCTTACAAGATACCCAGCCTACAACCTCACAAGATACCCAGCCTACAACCTCACAAGATTCCCAGCCTACAACCTCACAAGATACGCAGCCTACAACCTCACAAGATACCCAGCCTTCAACCTCACAAGATCCCCAGCCTACAACCTCACAACCTCCCCTTCCTACAACCTCACAAGTTACCCAGGCTACAGCCTCACAAGATCCCCAGACTACAACCTATCAAGATCTCCAGCCTACAACCTCAAAAGGTCCCTAGCCTACAACCTCACAAGATGCCCTGCCTACAACCTCACTAGATCCCCAGCCTACAACCTCACAAGACACCCAGCCTACAACCTCACAAGATACGCAGCCTAAAGTGTCACAAGATACCTAGCCTGCAACCTCACTAGACACGTATCATACAACCTCACAAGGTACCTAGCCTACAACCTCACAAGATCCCCTGCCTACAACCTCACAAGATACCCAGCCTACAGCCTCACAAGATTCCCAGCCTACAACCTCAAAAGATCCTCAGCCTACAACCTCAAAAGATCCCCAGCCTACAAACTCACAATATCCCCAGCCTGAAACCTCAAAAGATCAAAATCCTAAAAACTCACAAAATACCTAGCCTACAACCTCACAAGATACCCAGCGTACAACCTCACAAGATACCTAGCCTACAACCTCACAAGATCCCGAGCCTACAACCTCACAAGATACCTAGCGTTCAGCCTCATGAGATACCCAGCCTACAGCCTCAAAAGATCTCCAGCCTACAACCTCATAAGTAACCCAGGTTACAACCTCATAAGATCCCAGCCTACAACCGCGCAAGATCCCCAGCCTACAAAATCACTAGATCCCCAGCCTACAACCTCACAAGATACCCAGCCTACAGACTCACAAGGTCCCCAGCCTACAACCTCACAAGTTACCCTACCTACAGCCTCACAAGATCCCCAGCCTACAACCCCAAAAGATTCCCCGCTACAACGTCGCAAGATACCTATCCCCGCAAACCTCAAAGGTACCCCAGCCAAAAAACTCTCAGCCTCAGCCCCAACTCAAAAAACTCTGCCCAAACCTCACCCAAAATCCCCCCCCCCACAACCCCGCAAGATACCATCAACCCCCAAAGATACGCCCACCCACGATCCCCTAGCTACAAACCCCACAACTCTCCGCTACTCCCCCAAAGTTCCCCGCCTACAAACCTCACAGATCCCAGTCTGCGCCCCACAAGTCCCATCCCCAATCCCCACAAAAAACCTATCCCCAAAAACCCCCAAGATCCCCCGCCAAAACCCCACAAAACACCCCCCCCAGCCTAACAAGAATCCGCCTAGAACCTACAAGACCCCAGCCAACAACCTCCAAAATCCCCCGCCTAACCTCACAATATCCACGCCCAACCTCAAAAAATTCCAATCCGCAACCTCACAAAATACCTAGCCTAAAAATCACAAAAATCCCCATCCTACAAACCCTCACAAACATCTAACCTACACCTCATAAGAAACCCCGCCTATAGCCCCACAAAGGGTCCCCCCGCCAAAAACCCCAGAAACAACTAGCCTACAGCATCGAAAAATACCCAGCCTACATCCTCACTAGATCCCGGGCTGCCAAATTCCAAGATTTCCCCCGTACAACCTCACAAGTT